GGCCCGACAGGCCCATAACGCCGTCCACCACGTCAGCGCCCAGGTCCGCAGGCAGCCGCCCCGCCAGCCGCGCGGCGCCCTTGGCCGCGCACCACCGCACCCCCGTGTCGCGGTCGCGCAGCGCGGCCAGCAGGCAGCCCAGCACCTCCTCCACCTCACAGGCCACGGCGCAGTCCTCGCCCGCCTCGTCAGCGGCGCCAGCAGCGGATGCGACCGCCGCAACCGCCGCACCCGCCGCGCTCGCGCCGCCGCCGCCGCCGCCGAGCAGGGTCGCGCGCTGCTGCCGCACGTACCGCCAGGGCGCGGGCCGCGGCGCGAGCAGGGCCAGCCCCAGCCTCTGGGCCAGCTTGGCCGCAAGGCGGCGCGCGAGGCTGCTCCCGCCCAGGCACGCGGCCGCCGCGCTGGCGGGCGCGCCGCCGCGGCCGCCGGCCGCCTCCGCCTCGTCCCACAGCGCCCCCAGCTGGGCCCACACGCGCGGAGCGTGCAGGAGCAGGACGGGGCGGCGGCCCAGTTTGAACGCCAGCGCCAGGGTCTGCGGGCATGGCGAGCAGGAAGCATCCGCGGCGATTCAGATCGCGCACAGCAGGCAACGGGTGGCGTGTTGCCGGCTCCCGCTCCAGGGCGAGACGCCAAGGTGTCACTCAAACACGTCCGCCGCGCCACAGCCGCAGCAGCGGTGCCAGGCGAGTGCCGCACCCCATCCTGCGTGGAGGGCGGCCCGCACGCGCCCCTGAGCGCGCGCCTGCAGCACGCCGGGCAGCAGGAACTGGAGCTTGGCGGGGTGTGCGGCCGCGAGCGTGGCGGCCTGCCAGCCTAGGAAGCCCTCCAGGGCCGGCCTCATGTCGGGCCGCGTCAGCAGGCGCGCCAGCAGCAGCGCCGCCATCTCACGAGCAGCGCCTGGGCGGGTGAGGGAGAGGAGGAGGGGGGCAGGGGGTGAGGGGAAGGGGCCCCGACCGCGCGGGTCACCCTTCTGTCGCGCGGCGCTGCTGTAAGGCGGGCTTCGGGGCCGGGCATGGCGGGTTTGGGGGGCGGGAGAGGGGAGGCGGGCAGGGCGGCCGGGTCCCAAGCAAAGCAGGCCCCCGTGTCATTCGTCGCTGCCTGCTTTCAGGCACGCCCCCACTGGCCGTGCTGCCTGGGCGCCCCCGGCGCACCCGGGTGGTCCAGGTAGCCCTGGCACAGCTCCACGATGCGCGCCGCCAGCGGCGTGACGCCCCCCGCGGGCGCGGCGGCACCGACCGAGCTGTCCACGGTGCGCAGGTCAAAGGGCGTCAGCACCAAGATGGACAGCCACAGCAGCAGCACGCCCTGCGCCTCCCACGCTGCCAGCGCCGCGTCGTCGTGGGCGCCCGAGGAGGCGGCGGCGGCGTCGCCCTGCCCGGCGCTCTCGGCGCCCGCGCGCACCGCCAGCAGCACCTGCGCGCCGGGCGGCGTGGCGTGGGAGGCGTTGTACGGCAGCCAAGTTCACCCTGAGGTTGCGCGGCCGGGAACATTCCGGGCGGCACCAGCAGCGGCGCCGCGCCGCGGTCTGCCCGGCCCGGAGCCGGCGGCAGTCCGCACAGCTGCCCCATGCGTCGGCCCTGCCGCGCAGGGGCCACTCGCTGCGGCCACTGGCCCCGCTGCTCTCACCTGCAGCACGCGCTCCAGGTCTGCCGCCTCGTGCGGGAAGAAGCGCACCACAGTCTTGTGGCCGCGCACCGTCACCAACACGTGCAGCAGCCGGCAGACGCCGCACACCGCCCCCACCTCCGCCGCGGCCGCCCGAGTGCCGGGATGCGCGCCGCCAGCGCCGGGCGGTGGTGCCGCTGCGGCGGCGTGATCGCGCAGGAGGGCTGCAAGCGGCTGCACGACACCCTCCAGGCAGCCGTCAAGCAGCTGCGGCTGCTCTTGGTACTTGATCATCTGCGGGCAGCAGCACAGAACCGGTCGTCACGCGCCGCTCGCAGGCCACAAGCGGGCCTGGGGTGTGTGCAGGGGTATTGCGCGTGCTACCATCAATTTCAAACGTTTGAGCTCATACATCAGCAGCCCAGAGGCTTGGGGCCCTCACAGGTGCGCAAACAGCGGCGTGCTCACAATCTGCTTGTAGCGCGGCAGAACGGCTGCCGCATCGCGACCCCTGCTGGCCAGCACGCGTGCAACCAGCTCCTGCAATTCGAGAGTCTCCTCCAGCTCCAACAAATCGTCCTGCTGAGGCTCCTCCATCGCTTTGGGACTAGATCGCCACCAAAGTGGCGGGAGATCTCAAATCCCAAAGTGGGCGTCACGTTGCTTCAAAACAAATACATTGATATCGTAGGACGGGTTGACGTCGTTCAGGCTGGTCTCAAAAACATACTGTATCAGCTTGAAGTTACAACAGACGTGTTGAATCGTGTCCCGACTCTTCAAACGCCCGGTAGATACATATTGCGCGGTCCCTGCGCGGTCCGTCAGTAAGGCATGATGCCGTTTCTGCGCGTGCCAGCGGGAGGGCCCATCAGGGGCGGCTCCAGCTGCCGGTGATGTAGCTGCCGTCCAAAAGCGTCGCATTTTGCCACATGACCATACACATCCTGGGCCGATCCACTTTGCGCCTGCGTCTTGAGTCCTGTCGTGTTTTGTTGCGCCTCTTTCTTTATCCAAGTGATCTGCGCTTGCATCCAGAAGAACCCGTGAACTAGAAGATTCAGGGTGGCTGCAGGTATTGGTCAGCCACTCGCCAACAACTGCTCACCAAACCTGCATTCCTCACACTATGGGTTGTATGATACATAACACAATGCGTTTTACATGTGTGTAATGCCCCAAGGCAGCCCCAAAAAAAAGCAAGGAACAGGGAAACAGACACCAAGAAAGCCCAGCCTGCTGACAGTCTCTACTGCTCAACAGCACATGGCTCGAGGGCGTGAGCACCGGCAAGGCAGGGCATCGAGACTGCGTTGTTGGAACAAACTCGGATCAAAAAAGGTGGTGGGGGTGTGATGACGCAATGGCCAACCTGTGAAAGAGTGCCAATCACGTGTGGATTAGTGGACCAAACACGAGGAAGAGGGGCACACCACGGCCAGGCGCGCTTGAGCACGACGGGGGCGCGCAGGGGCAGACCAAGTCAGCGGAGCAGCAAGGGCCGCGGCCTCTGGTGGGGTGACACAAGAACACATGACGCGTGCACGGGCAGGCGCGCGCCAAGCCGAGCTGGGGACTCGTGCTCGTGCCGCCGCCGCCCGCTGCGACGGCCGCAGCGGTGCAGTTCTGATGTCAAATTGAAAAGGCGGGGCCATCACGCAGGGGCCAGACCGCCAGGGTGCCTGTGAAGCCAGCAGGGACTGGCAGAGGCGCACACACACCCGCAGTGTAGAGATGCACTAAATGCGCCTGCGTATGGCGCACCGGGTTGATCTGGACACGAGCATTCAGGGTCCCGGAAGTTGCATCGTGCCGGCAAGAGCGTCCCCATAAGAGCCACAGCAACACGCCGAGTGCCGTTGAAAACAAGGGACTAAGTCGATCACGCACCATTCCATCGTGCGCGCGCCGTTGCGCCACTGCGCACCCTTGCTGTCCCAGCATGGCAGCTCGCACGGGCGCTAGGGCGCCCAAGCAAGTAGCCGAATGCTTGATCGATTTGCAAATCTGAGGCGACGAAGCGTCCACCTGTGCGACTCCACGCCCAAACCAGGCGGAAAACACTTGCGCGGCAACCAATGTGGTCTACAGTACGGGGCGTGCAGGGCGCCAGATAAACGTCCGACCGCTGTGCTGGGGCACATGCAGGGTAGACGTCCTGCGGCAGGCTGACGGCTTTGTGTGCATATGCAGCGCCAGGAACAACACCAAAGCTGCTTCAAAGGGTGGGGGCTCTGCCTGCCATGCGCACGCTGGGCGCAAAAAGGGGCAGCACATGTGAACATGCCTAGCAAAGACGCTCTCCGATACTCAGTGCATCAAGCAGGATGCACGAAGCAGCATGCATGACGGCCGCGTTCACCGCGGTCGCCACGTTGCGCAATGTCCTGTTATGAGGCGACCCACGCAGACACTCGTGAGCAAGGGTTGGCTTGGCGGTGTGCAGCGTCCACAGGTTCGTCTGTGGCCCTGATTGAGGGGGCATACAACACCGGCTGCCCAAGCACACATATGGATTGCGCACAGAAACCCTGCATCAAGCCCAGGTGGGGCCAAACTCCAAGGCCAAAACAGGCAGAAAGCGGGTTGACGGGTCATGGCCATATGCTTCGTCCACTTGCTTGCTTCCCGACGTCATTGTTGCCCCCCATTCTTATCTCCAAATCACCAAAGCACACGTGGCACAGCCGAGCTCGCCTCAGCCTGTGGGCACGCAAGCACCCATGCGTGGGGGCCACTTTGCCACATCGGGGGCGCCTGACAAGCAACCCAACGGCATGGGCAAGGGGGCGAGCGACATCACGCAAGCCTTAGAACCTCGGCCGCGTCCGCAGCAGGCCGCGGCTGCGCATTGAGCCTGGAGCCACTCGCGCCGCCGCCAGCGCCAGACTCGGTGAACGACGCCGAGTGGCACAGCGCCGCCGCGATGGACGCCGCGCGCTGCACCGGCGGCAGGTCCGGGGCCGCCGCGCCCGTGCACGCCGCAGCGACGAGCGCAGCGGCGCCTGCCACCGGGCCCTGCTCTGTTGCGAGGCCCTGGCTGGACGAGCGGCGTGCGCAGCCCGCGCCAGCCTTGACGCAGGCGTAGGCATAAAAGTAGTCGCGGGGGTCGAGGCCCGGCGCGGCCAGAGCCTCCTGCAGCTCGGGGCCCACCTCGTAGGGCCCCAGCCAGGCACTGGGCTCGTCCTTGCCAACGGGCAGCGGCGGCGCGCCCCCTGCCGCCAGGCCGGGCAGCTGGCGCCCGAGCAGGGCCGCCTCGCTCCGCAGGTACAGGCTGGGCTTGGGCAGCAGGTAGACCGACACACGCGCCCACCGCACCTCACGACGCCCGGCGCCAGCGCAGTTGGCGAGTGCAGCCGGCGACGCGGCGGCCGTCTCTGCGGCGGCCGCGACACGCGCGGCAAGCCGGGCAGACAGCGTCGACGGCGGCGGCACCTGAGGCAGTCCTAAGGCAGCAGCGCCGACCGGCGGCGGCGCGACCGCGCCGTCCGCGCTAGAGGGCCGCCGTTTGCGCGGCTGCGCGCGGAGGACACTGAGGCGTGTCTCTGGCTGGCCAAGGCTGATGAGCAGGAACACGCCACCCGGCGACAGCACGCGGTGCGTCTCTGACACATAGCACCGCACGTCGCCGAGCCCGGTGCCGCTGCACAGCACGGCGTCCAGCGTGCCCTTGTCCACCACCGTGCCAAACGCGTCGTCGGCGAATTGCGGCATCGCGCGGCAGTCGGCGACCTGCCAGCTGCAGTTGCGGCGCGCGGGGCTGTCAGGCCAAGTCGCTGCATCTGCACGCATCTGGGCGATGACCACGGGGGAAATGTCTGTGTTGATGACCTGCAGGCCGGAGTTTGGTGGGTAGGGAAGGGATGGCGGCGGGTAAGCAGCCGCTGCGCTCACAACACCCGCAGCCCGGGACAACCCTGACGCACAGCGCATGCCGCACAATGACGCCTCGGACAGGACGAGCTAGCGCTGCCCCTGCCTGCCACCCCAAAAGCAAGCCTTGGGTCGGGCGGGCTCACGGGCGTGCCGTCTTCGCCAATGCCGATGCTCAGGTCGCTGTTGCCGCAGCCCACATGCAGCGCCGGCAGCGCAGGCAACGCCATGGCGTGGCGCAGCAGCGGCCGCAGCGCGCTGTGGGAGAAGAACCAGTCAAAGTGCGTCGCGCGCTGGGCATAGCGGCCGTCCCAATAGCTTGAGGCAGAATACGCAGCGGCGCTCTGTGTGCGCGCTGCACCCGCGGGTGGCGCGCTGGTGCTGCCCCCCGCCTCGCTGCTGATGAGGTTGGCGCTGCTGAGGCTGCCGCTGCGGGGGCTGCCCGAGCTGGGGGTGGCACTGCTGGGGCTGGGGCTGCTGGGGACGGGACTGCTGGGGCTGGGGCTGGCTCCGCCATGTGCCTGCTCCTGGCAGCCGGGTTCTCGCCAGGGCGCCTTCACGTCCGCGGCAACTCTGACAGACCCAGGGGTCACACCCACCCGCGGCTCAGCGCCACGCGGCGCTGCCGCAACGACCGCTGAAGCGCAAACAGCCAGCATCGCCCTGCCACTGGCGTCGCAGCCGTCGGGTCCACCAATGCTGGGGACCCGGCCCGCGCGCGGGCCACCTGATGCCAGTGTGGCACAGTGAGGGCCTGTCGACAGCTCACAGATGCATCACCAGCGGCGGCTCTCGTCCCCAAGCCACGGGTTGCGAGTGTCCGGGATCAGGGGCGGCGGCTCCCGTATATTGAGGGCCTGCACACATGTCAGGCAAAACCGAGCGCGGCATACGGTGGCGACTCAGGAACAGCCCCCTCCGCAACCTGCGCCTTGCGGGTACGCCTTGCGGACCCACGCGCGACCAAAGCTGCTCAGGCGGCGTCTGCAGCCGTACAGCCTCGCTAGGAAGCCCACCTGAATCTGCTGCAGGACCAGGTCGTGGCCAGTGGCCACGAACACCGAGCAGAGGCGCGGATTCAAGCGACCTTCGCGCAGAACACCTGCCGCGGACGGAGCCACACAACACATGAGTCAAAACACCGTATGACAGCCTTTGTGTTTGCTTCTTGAAGCGGACCGGGACTGCCTGGGACCCACCGCCATCCTCCCCGCTCGCACCACCTCCTCACCTTGCAAGAGTTGAACGCAGATGTGCTCAGGCAGCACCCCAAGCTGCAAGTTTGGCGGCACGGCTCCCCCGCACAAAGCGTTCAACAAGGAGCGCTGAGCAATCTCGATTAGTGTTGGCGGGCCTGTCTGCATGCTAAAGACGATGTAATATGTGTGTAAAAGAAGTTGGCTTCTGCCACAGACAGGGACTGACGGACAACAAGTCCCACGCTTCGCATGGCACAACTTCTGCCTTGACACTGAAAGCGCTCGTCTGACTGCAAGCCTAGCCAGAAGCCACACATCAAGGGCGGTCATACTACGCCCCTAACGCCTAACTTTTGACACCGCCTAGAAAGTCCACTGCGCTCCTGGCATCGCCATATTGGGGAGTCAGCGTCAGCATTGACGATCATTTGCAAGATTGACCTGGCTGACTAACCCCGTTCATGCAGTTCACCGCCGCTATCTCAAATACAAGCATCTGAATGTTTGCGACGGGATCGTATTATAAAGTATCAATAGAACTCATTGCGCTCGGAGCCATGGGAGTGATTTGTACACAAGGTGCTTCATAGCCGCGCTGTGTAATGCATACACAGCTTCGCATGACTGCTCTTCGGCGCTCTTGAGCGCAGCGACCTTGTGGTGGCGGAGGTGGAGCCGCGCGGATGTGGCGGCTGCACAAGGAGCTGCAGGAAAAAGAAGGGCTGAGATGGCAGTGGCCCAGCACATCCATGCACAGCAGCCGCCGCTTTCTGCTGCAGATACAATTGAGGTGTCATGATCAGTATCGAGCGACCGTAGTCCGGCAGCTGTCCTAGCAGCGTAATGCACACGCACGGCAGGCCAGTTCACTTCCTGGACAGTGCAAGTGATCAAGACCAAGTGAATTGCAGCACGGGCGGCGGCGCATGTATCGGTGCTGGGCAGCAAGTAGCGGGACAAGTGCTGCGGGCAACATAGCGTGCTACTGCAGTTCAAGGAGGTCGGCGGCGGGAGCTGAACAGCAGGCCGTGAGCGGTGTTGGCGGGGTTGCAACTACACGCTGTACTATTATGATGTTTGCAGCACGGATTCCATGGGGTTGCGCACGCAGGCAGCCTGAGGCTGGCGGTGTTGTTGGTCGGCGATAGGTGCAGAGATGAATACTGGAATGCTTTCAGCATTGGCATACGCAGAGGCACAGCATGCTTAGCCCGCCATCACTACCCTGCCTTGCCCAGCTGATTGAGCTGCTTTGGCCCCGGCGCTGCGACCCTCACAGCGCCCGGGCCTAAAAGCCACAACAGCACAGCGCCACTGCGTTCGTGGCGAAGGCCTTGCCGGCCGTGGCTAGCTGCCTTCTCTGCTTGGTCTGCTATGTTGTCTGATTCCCTCACTCGGTCTGCTTGGTAGTGCAAGTACGCGAGGCCCCTGTGGATTGGACGCAATTGTTTTTGGCGGCCTGTATATTTAAAGACAATGACAATAGCCATGCGTGCAAGGAATATTGTGCGGGGAGTCAGCGTCCCCTCCGTCGTCTCCCGGGCTCCGCACACGTGTAGGTCTCATACGAGGCTGTGCTGTTTCGGCGGTCTCACAGCATATTGAAGTGCAGCTGCTGGAAGCGCAGTGTAGGTCTCGGCGTGGGCACCGTCCCACTGATATCTAGTCTTATGGTGTGCCAGGCCAGTGTATGGTGTGAAGCTGGGAAATCACGGAGTGACCCCTGCTTGTGGCATTATTTGACCTGCGTTTGACTGTCGCGTTTTTGCGGGTGCTACAAGCCTTTGGCCTGCTGTGAAGCTGCTTGTAAATTTGCGCTCTGGCATGCAGGGGGTGTTCTCCTTGGCCCCTCAAGGGAAAAGCGTTTGATAGTTTGCTTGGTGTTAGGCCAGGCTTTGAAATTCCCCCACTGAAAAGTGGTTCAACGCGCTCATCTGCGTGTTGGACCGCCTCACGGTTGCGGCAACCTCGTGTGCAAGCATGTCATGTTTGACTGTTGTGATGCAGGACTGTTCTACCATAGGGATCGTTGTCCCCGTTCACCTGGAGTGTGCCCCTGCAAGTTCCGAACCTGACTGCCCCCGCTTCCTCCTCCTCCTATTCTAGCTGAGGCATCCTCTGGTAGACGCCAAGGTCTTCGCCCTTCCTGCTGAGGGGTTATTTCCCTTGCCGCTGGCGAATTGTGAAGCAATTTGATATCATGTGATGTGATGCCGTGCATGACTTTACAGAGGACGAATGCGTGGGCAATGTACACTATGAGAGGCGCATGCACAAGAGTGAGCTCATGTCAGGCTGGTTGCGAGTGACTTGAGCAGGGGGTGTTGTAGTGTAGCTGTTGGCTGATCAGGCAAGTTCCCTGTGTCTGGGGAATTTTGGCTTTGCGAGGCTGCCATTCATTCAAAAACTCAAGCTCTACTTTCATTCAAAAATCAAGTGGGGGTTCAAAATCGCAACGAAGGGAGCACCTTGGCATCTTAATTCACTCATAAAGCGGGCATCGACCATAGAAGTGCCGCACTCCGCAGCACTGCAGATCGTGGTGGTGCGAAGTGTATACAGGAAGCTTCACAAGTGCAAAATTTGTCATGGTATCTAGCACATGCGTGTGTTACTAAATTCAACAAGGGGGGCCAATGCAGGGCGGTGGGAATCAAACAGAGCATATCAGACAGCTGCGGAAGTGGAGATCTGACTGGGAGAACTCTGGTCCGCGCAGTGCGACACTGATGTGCAATGGCAGTTGTTGCAGGGTGCTTGCAAGTTGCATCACAACCATACCGCATCAGGCATGCTTGATTCATTTGCATCGCGGTCTGGTGCATGCGGTATGTGCTGTGTGAGCGCATTTGGGGTCGAGAAGCGCCGCGTGACTCAAGAGGGCGGGAGTGCGAGAGGACAGCGTAGGGAAAAACGCATGGCTAGCTGCACATTCCTTTATGTTCATCTTTCAAGAGATACACCATATCAACCTTTGTTCACTTCATTCGCTCCTTTTGCGGATCCTTCCTCCCTGCTCGTGCCCACATCCCTCCTCGTGCCTTGCTCGCCCACCAAAGCTTTCATCTAGTTGATTAGTATCCGTTTTGTACTGCGAGGCCCGCATCAGGTGCAACAACCCCCCTTACACCGGCCGCTCTGCTTTGGCGGGGGGGCGTCTGTAGTTCACTGCATGTGGGTTCAGACCCACCAGCACGGTATGGATATTTTTCTGACCTATTGGAAGTCGTGCCTGCCCTGCCATGTGCTGCGGCCAAGCAGCAGGCGCTCAGGTTGCGCAACGCCGCCTGCCGCAGGCGCGCACCGCCGCGCTTGATCCAGACCCTCCTCACCGGGGGCAGCAGCAGCCATGGCAGGTGCCTCCGGGGACAGCGTGGCGGCGCTTGTCAACCTCACCAACGCCGTTAACACTGGCGACGACGTTGCTCTTGCGCTGGCCAGCGGCGCTGCAGACATTGCTGCCGGTGGCGCGGGTGCAGCAGAGCCGGAGGTCGATCGCACGAAGCACCCCTCGGGTATCGTGCCGGTGCTGCAGAATGTCGTCGCAACAGTCAACCTCGGGTGTAAGCTGGACCTGAAAGAGATCGCGCTGCACGCGCGCAACGCTGAGTACAACCCCAAGGTGCCTGCTGGGGCCGGGGCAGCGCGGCGACCCGCAGCGCTGCAGCGTGCTTTCAGCGTGCGGCATGTTCAAGCTCTGGGCAGCACAAGCGGTGCCTTTCTCCGGCGCTCGTGCGCCCCGCGCACGGCCTTTTTCACTGAGGCTTCATGTTTTGGGTGCTCGCGTGTTCGGGGGAATGTCTTCCGCTGAACCAGGAGCAATGGCCTGATCCCAGCAGCTGCCTGCTGCTCACCGCGCAAGCTGCCCCGATTTGCACACCCCACGCGCCCGCAGCGGTTTGCGGCGGTGATCATGCGCATTCGGGAACCCAAGACGACAGCTCTCATCTTTGGGTCTGGGAAGATGGTGTGCACCGGCGCCAAGAGCGAGCAGGAGTCCAAGCTTGCGGCTAAAAAAGTGCGTCGTGCAGACGGGCACGGGAAGTGGGGTTGGTGCATCAATGTAGCGACCTGCCAGCAGTGGTGGTGCGTCGAAATCTCGGCGTCGCATGCAAGCAGGCGCCCCCTTCCCCCTGACGCGTGCACACGTCACTCTGAGCCGCGCCCGCGCAGCCGTTCCCGAGCGCCGCCGTGCTCGTCCTTGTTGCCCTTGCGCGCAGTACTGCCGCATCATCCAGCGCCTGGGCTTTGAGGCGGAGTTCAAGGAGTTCACCATCCAGAACGTCGTGGCCTCCTGCGACGTCAAGTTCCCCATCCGCCTGGAGGGCCTGCAGTACTCACACGCCTACTTCGCCACGGTGCGCCGCACAGGGCGGCGCGCAGGGGGCTGGGGCCGAGGGGTTGGGGCGCAGGGGTGGGGACGTGCAAGGCTGCAGGTGGCACTGCCGCGGCTGCGCACATGGGCGTTATGGTGCTGCCTTGAGCGAAGGCGTACGCCGGCCTGCGCTGGTCTGCAGCCATGTTCTGTGGGGACGTTTGCGCGCCTGCGTCTGCCCTCGCCTGCCCTCCTTGCCCTGCGGCATGTACCTCATCCCCTCCGCTCTCCTCCATGCGTTGCAGTACGAGCCGGAGCTGTTCCCGGGCCTGATATACCGCATGAAGCAGCCCAAGATCGTGCTGCTCATATTCGTCAGCGGCAAGGTGGTGCTGACCGGCGCCAAGAAGCGCGACGACATCTACACCGCCTTTGAAAACATATACGCCACGCTTCAGGAGTTCAAGAAGAAGGGCCCAACAGAGGGCATGCAGCAGCTAGCGGCGCCCGGGAACGCGGCAGCGCTGCCAGCCCCGCCCGGCGCCGCTGGCGGCACGGGCGCGGGGCCCAGTGGCAGCGGCAGCGGCGCGGCGGGCGGAGGCGGTGGGGGCGCAGGCTCCAGCGGCAGGGGTGCCATGCCACCGCCAGCTGCAGGCATGATGCCACCAGCGCGGCGCGCGCCTGGCGGGCCTGCTCCCCCGGCAGCAGCAGCGGCAGCCGCTGCAGGCCCTTCATCCGGTGCAGCCGGGGGCGGCGAGCACGGCGTGCCGCCCGCCACCCCCTCGCATGTGCCGCCAGCGACGCCCGCTTACATGCCGCCCTCCACCCCCGCGTACCAGCCCCCGCCTGCCACGCCTGCCTATGTGCCGCCGGCGACCCCGGCGTACCAGGCGCCCACGGCGCTTCCCACGCTGCCGTCACTGGCAGCGCCGAAGGCGCCGGTGCTGCCCAGTCGGCTGCCGCCGCAGTAGGCACGCTGCGTTGGGGCCCTCAGTCGCGGCGCCATTGCGTCGCCATTGGGGTGTACCCTTGTCGGGGCACACCACGTTGAGACAGGCTTACTTCGCCTACCACGCAGCAGGCCGTTTGGCGCGTCGTCCCGTTCGTATATTGCGCGTCAGGCCTGTTGCCATCGCCTCGTGTCCTCGCCCCAGTTTGTGGTGATGTGTGCGGCATCCTGGGTAACCACCACCTGTGCGTGATGCAGCAGTCAATTGTCCGTTCTCAGTGCGGCAGCGCTTGGCACTTGCTTCTTTACAGTCTGCACACCGCCGCGCATACCCGTGTTGCTAGGCGGCGCACTATTTTTTCACCTTGGCCCCGTGTCTGCGGTGTTGCTGCGAACATGTAACACGCAGCTGCAGATGCGGTTGAGGGTACGCAGGGACGGATGGGAGGGAGGCTCGATGCACAGAGGCACAAGGCACAAGCTGGGGGCGAGGGATACAAAGAGCCTGTGCAGTGTCTTTTTTTGCGGACGTGCATGCACACCTTGTCTTGCGCGCCTAATGCAGCCAGGAGGATGTGCTATCAATGCAGCCTGCCACCACTGCATGACACCAAAACCACCAGGGCCGCACGTGGATCCGCCGACCGCGCCAACCACTGCTTGTGGGGTGACGTCCTGCTCCACAAAGAGCAGTGCTGCAGCAGGGGCGCGGGCGCATTGCAACCTTGCGTTGGCCTTTTTTGATGCAGGAGTGGCCAGGACGGGAGTGGGGTTCAATGTCGCGTATTTGTTGCTCACATAGGGAGCTCAAATAGGGCTACAAAGCGCCCCCCCACATCGTCACCGCAGCAGCCCTACATTTGCCATGGATGCCTACCCCTCAGCTGACACTGAAGCCATGTCAGGTGCCTCACAGATCTCTCAGCTTCAAGTTTGCTGCAGCTTGCAGGGGCCGCTCCTCCACAACAGGCAAAGAATGCCTTGGTCCGGCACCTCAGGCGCGGTCGCACCATCACCTCATCGCTGTAGCTGCCCCGCACCCAACTTCAGGCTGCAACTCAGCTGTTCCAGATCCAATTGCTCTCACATTTTGAAGCCCAGTCAATTGCATTGGTGTTTGGGCCTCAATGAACGCGCTATCACCACCACACAGCTTTTCTGCATGTGGCAGAGTGACGCCTGCTGCTGCGGCGCTCACCCACTGCTGCATATTTCTAGCATTGGTAGGCAGCATGAAGCTCAAGGGACGCTGTAACCGCGGCATGGCGTGTTACAGTCGACCATGACAACCCCACAGGGGTGAATGGATTGGCTACCGGCACTATCTTCTGACTTGCTTCTTACCTGCTGTTTACTCATCTAGTGTATGTGGTGTGCAGTGTTGCCGAAGTGGCAAAATCGGGAGGTCTATGTGTAATGGCAAGCAGCACACAGTTGACGGAGGCTGACACATCCATTGTGCAGCGGCGGCGACGCCCCAGACAGAGCGGAGGACTTGTCTGGAAGCCGACCCATGCATAGCGGGCTTGATGCATATTGCACGTGCTGCTGTGCGTTAGGCAATCAGGCACGATAATTGTCGTCCGATACCTATATTTGCACCTGCCGTGTGCCTTACTCGACTCATTGCAGCAGCTCAACATGCAGACCGTGCTGGCCCGCAGCCCGTTCAGCTGCTCACATGCAGTGAACCGCCGCAGATTTGTGGTGGTTCGCGCCGAGGCCCTGGAAATCCCCACCGGCTTCAAGCAGGTGGGCTTCCAGAGCGATCGTAGTGGAGGCGCGTCGGCTTGTGGCGCTCTTTTATGGTATTGGATGCTTATCCGGGATATGACGTACGTTTATCTTCTGCCTGCATTGGCCTGTGGCAAATGGCCCGTCCCCGCGGCGTGCGGCGGCGCATGCAGATCATCCCCAAGGGGGAGCGCGTCCTGGTCAAAGTGGGGCAGCAGGAAGAGAAGACCCGCGGTGGCATCCTGCTCCCGATATCGGCGCAGAAGCGACCCACGTCAGGTGGGCCCTGTTCTGTAGGCGGTGTATATGTGTGTGTTGAGTGTCACTTCGGTGATTGTGAGAATGTCGAGCGTGTTGAGAAGACTGGGCAGGGCCGCGCACGGCTGGTTACTGCCTTGGCCCGCTGCCATTGGCACCCTTTACAAAAAAAGGCGCGACAACCTTGCAAGGCCCTGCTGTCCGGGTCCCAGCCGTGACGGGTGTCCGCCCCGCGCTCTGCAGGCGATATCGTGTCGCTGGGTGACGGCCGCCTTGGCGATGGCAGCGTGCGGCCGTTCTACCTCCAGAAGGGCCAGACGGTGCGCAGCTGTCTTCAGGGCGAGGGGGACAAATGGGGTTGCGACAGGAACGCATGGCGTCCAGGGCAGTGGCGGCATTGTGTGTACTTGCATGGTGGCGTAGGGTCGCCCTCTGCTGCACGCCTTGACTTGAGGCGTGGCGGGGGCGACGCGTGCTGCGCCTGTGTGGCGCCGAAATGTGGAGCTGGCGTGGTTGGGTCAATGCGGGACCTTCACCCTCCACCAAAACAGGTGGCGAACCATCCAGCGGCCCCGCAACGGTGTACGCCCTCAACGAGCTCGCTCGTGCCC